CTTACATAATAATACAAATTATAATAAGTTTATAAATAACTTCTTACAAAACTTCGTAAGTTTAGAAATGAATAAACTTCTTACGATACTTCTCTATTAACTCACTAATGAGTTACTGCAACGTTTCAGTTTCTTTTATTATTTAATTTTGCTTTTTAATACTGAAGCTGTGGAAAGGAATCCCAAGGATTTAGGATTCATTTTTTCATCGAAAATTGACTAATTGTTCTAACACAATTGGTTCTAGAATTTTATACAGCTTGAAAAAATTGATGTATTTGTAGCAATATGACAAACTGATCCCTTTAAAATCTATAGTTCTACGCGTAGGTCAAATGTTACAAGTGCGATGTATTGCAGCGTGAAAGAAAGATGGTCCTAGGTTAAAAATAATATTGTACGATCAATAAGGACGATGTAGATAGTGTCGAGTTAATTTTGTTTACAAGAATCATCACTCAATGTACTCAATTTTTTAATGAATCTTTCTATGAATACATAAATAAAGCATTGAAAAATATTAGCCATAATTATTATTAAACAATACTAAGATATTACTCAAGGGAATTTTTTAAAAAACAATACGATTTTTACAATGAATGTAGTTTATAAGGACATTCTATAAAGAACGTGGTTTATATAAAAAGTTTACAAAAAATAGAGTTTATAAGCAAATTCTATAAATGAATATTTTCATGTAAATAGATGGAAATATAGAAAATATTTTTTTTAAACCTTAGTGTTGTTTTTCATAGTTGGCAGGGAAATATACTAGTATAATTTATTTGTGAAATAGTTTTGTCAATTCCAAAAGCGAATTTTTGTCTGGAATCGCGATACTTTTTTAAACAATAGTTTAATACCGATAGCTTAATATTCCTCGGTAAAATAAGAGGAAGGCACGTTTGCATTTCTGGTTCTCGCATTGTATTTATTCTAGAATTTCCTAATTTCGGTCATTCCGTAATACGGAACGATGTTTGCAGATTTGGCTGTTTAGGTTCGATTGGGTGGTCTTTGCATTGATTTTTGGGGTTATTGGCCAGTCTTCTACTGAGAGAGGGCCAAAGGGTTACGAATGGCTAAAATCTCTGCACTTTTTGGTTCAGCGTGTCCATAAACCTACTGATCCAATATTTATGACAAACGGTTGCCAATTTCTCTTACAAATAATAAACCAATTGGGTCTCGCTCTGCTTTGCTCTTCAATGTATATGAATAATTGGAAAATATTGCGGTTTTCTATAAAATTCATATTCAGTTGAACTTTGATTTGAATAAATTTTTATTCTATTAACCCTTGTTTTAAGGGGGCATTTCACTGTGAACGCACAAAAAAAAGCATATTTTCAATAATTTTTTTCTCAGGAACTATTGCATAAAATTGAATGAATGTTTCTTCCCCTTAAAAGTATGATTAAGGAAAGTAAATGAAAAATTTTTTTTTGGTAAAAAGTATTTCATCATTTATTTACAAAATAATATACATGTGTGCAAAAAAAAGTTATCCGCTGGTGCAGGTGATTTTGGCTCTCCTGGTAATCTGAAACAGAAAATCGAAAAAGTTTATTAAACTATGTCGTCACATCTATGGTCGCAACCTCCACTTATTTATTTCATCGAAAATAAACAAAATGGCAGCGTTTAAATTGTAAGTAAAAATCAAAATATCAAGTATTTGGAGGTTCCGACGATAGGCGTGACGACATAGTTTAATAAACTTTTTCGATTTTCTGTTTCAGATTACCAGGAGAGCCAAAATCACCTGCACCAGCGGATAACTTTTTTTTGCACACATGTATATTATTTTGTAAATAAATGACGAAATACTTTTTACCAAAAAAAAATTTTTCATTTACTTTCCTTAATCATACTTTTAAGGGGAAGAAACATTCATTCAATTTTATGCAATAGTTCCTGAGAAAAAAATTATTGAAAATATGCTTTTTTTTGTGCGTTCACAGTGAAATGCCCCCTTAAAATTATTCTGCCCAAATATAGTCAATTAAACCACAGCTAGATTAATAGAAACAGATTGATCTATTTCTCGCATAGTTTGACGTGAATTTTATTCATCGATCTCTCTTAAAGTTTCATCGTTTTCAATGTTTCCGTTTCGATTTCCAATAGTGCATCAATGTTTGGCATTTTGAAAACCAACGTTTAATGCATCACAACGAAACAGTCAATAACCTTGTCAAACACAGTCCGTCCCATACATATCTATTTATTAAAGAAATTTGTCTGAATTAAATGATGGATCTCATATTTCCAAATAAATGTTTCGTTATAAATATATATATATGTAAATAAACTTTACACGTGTATATATTTATAATGAAACATTTATTTAGAAACAAGAAATCTGCCGTTTTGTTTAGACAAACTTCTTCAATAAATACATATTTATTCGACTGACTGTATACAACTGATTTCCTTGTCTATTTTACATTAGAAAAGAAACAACCAACCGATACAATTATTTACGAAACAAAGTTGTAGGAAAATTGTTGAGACACTTTCGACACAGGATTAATGATACACACGTCTCGAAAACCAATTCCGAAGTAATATGTATTGAAAAGCTTGCGAATTAAATAATGAGAATTATTTATCAACCTCGACGAGGACTATTTCATTTAATCAAATTCTTTTCATTATAGATATGATTTTGTTAAAAAAATAAAAATTCTGTTTGGGAAAATATTCACCGTACTTTTCAAAAATTTCAATTTTAATTAGAAGAATTCAGAATTTCTAAGTAAGTAGAAAATTCGGCCTACCTTCAGCTTTAAATAATCAAATCATATAAATAATGATTATTTACCTCAAAATGCAAATTCTGACCTACAAATCATTCGTACCTCTTCAAGAATAGCATATTTAATATTTATCCTTTAGACGTCCTCGAATATATTCTCACGTATATTACAATTCGTTTAAGAAATATTAAATAATAAAAAAAAAAAAAAAATAATGAATAACGAGTAAGTCTAAAATTTTAAATAAATTACACAGACTTCTCAAATATTAGGTAGACTGAAATGTAATGTCGTTTCTTTTACATTAAATTCAAACAAATTTGTAATAAATTTCTATTTTTAATCAATTATGAAATCGTCCTCGTTATCAGCAGCCTTTTGCCATCAGGTGTGCAAAATTTTCAATGCCAGATTGCTAAAAATCAATGAGCTGATGAGTGATAAACAAATATTTAAAATTGCAAAAACGATATTACTTTCCAGTTCACCTAATAGTAAATAGTTGTTCCTTTTACTTAAACTTTAAAATAATAAATCCAACTTTGCCAAAAGTTTATTTATCATAATTTAAAGAAATTTAGACCTATACTGTCATCGTGTATTTCGGACATTTTACTATCTCGTTCTCGATCGTCGGGCACATTCTAAATCTAATTTTTGTGCAGCCTTCCACACCCCAGATCTGCGCATCGCACACCGGTGTTGTAGGCGAAAGTCACAACGCGGAAAAGCTGCTGAAACAGTGGACATTTCAGTTACTGATATGCCAGTCATATCACCACCTACATATGGCAATTTCATACCGCACTGTTCACAAGGGAAGTTCGGCAACTGATACACGACGAAAACTCGGAATTATTTGCAGAAATAAAGTTCATGGGGACCTAATCACACTACTCTTCATTGTATCCCAAACATTGTTTTAAGGGTGGAAACACTTCTTCGAAATAATTCTGGTTATTTATATTTTTGCTAATGTAACATAGGTTTGGTGAAACCTTAAGAGATATGGATAAAATTTTAAATAGAAAATGAAATATTTTTTATAACATTTTATAACACTGTAGAAAGAAATTAAACACATATTGTAGTATGTAGAATCGCAGGAATGAATGGAAAAGGTTTTAAGGCTAAAAGTAAATGGTTTATTTATTAGTAAATTGTACATTTTAGTTTTGGAGAGGAATAACTTTTACAGGGTTTTCGGAAACAAAGCTTTCAGCTAAATTCTTTAACAACATATACAGGGTGTCCAAAAAATATTGGACATCCTTGAAGAAGGTGGTTCGGGAGGTGATTTGAAACACCTTTTCCTTAGCGAAAATGTTGTCCGAGGCTTCGTTGAAGTAGCGTATGAGCGCGGTCACCTAGCGCGTAGCCACGCATACTGCGGCCGGTCCACCAACATACTCGCGCTCTGATTGGTCAATGTTTTCCGTTCATATCTCCTCAACGAAGTCTCGGACAACATTTTCGCTAAGGAAAAAGTTGTTTCAAATCACCTCCCGAACCACCCATTTCAAGGTGTTACAACATTTTTGGGACAGCCTGTATATATACACACGTTGAATTTTATTTATTCCATTTTGCTGGGTTGAAGGTCATTTGTAGGTCATATTGTAGTACATGGATGAATTCGTTATTTTGTCAGCTACAACATTAAGTTAAGGAAAATATATCATTGAATTTAAAAAAACATCGATGACATTGAAATTTTATAAAAAAAAAAGACCTTAAAAATTTTTTCCCTTACTACGTTACATGTGGCCCTTCAAACAGTGTAACTTTGTCCTCAGAAGTTTTTTTGTACAACGAAATGTAACGGAGATATTTGGGTGTTCTGTTTCTTCGGACTCACCCTGTATATGTCGAATTGAGTAACTTCCTCCTTTTCGAAGTTGGTTAATAAAATAAATAGTGTTCCACGCGGGTGAAACCGCGGGGCGCAGCTAGTTTAATAAAAATATCAATATTTTTGAATTAATCACAACTCTATCATTTACTTATTTATTATCCTAGAAATTAATGCATAGAATATTAAGTAAATACATGATAAATAAACTTACAATTAATTCAGAAAATTCACAGAATATTTATAATAATTATACTATAGCTACGCCTCTGTACAAAATTGATTTAATATTTACAAATTAATCAACCTATCCAATAATAAATATCGTAATAAAATTGATTCACCTAGTTTTAATTGAACGCACATTCTATGAATGATTGTTTCAGTGCGTTTTATTCGGAACGTTCATGATATGGTTCGCAAGCATCACGATAAACTTGGGCCCCACATTTCTAAGCGGTGCACTAGCTGCGAACACAGAAACAGGACACAACGCTCCTAGTTGTCCACTGGTTCATGGTCCGTTTCGTCATTACATACTGAACGCTCTCTGGATCGCCATCAACATGATTTGTGTGGCGCTAACCCTCGTCCATCTTAGGAAACTTCACAAAGATCTCACTAAGGCCAACGTCGAAGCGGTACGTACTTTAATACAAAAATTAAGCTTTAATTTCACGCATTCATTATTCTCTACTACATAGTTTACTGTAATTACATTGTAACATTTACAATGTAAAGCAAATCATACAAAACAATAATCAGATGAATAATTGTTCTGAGCAATTATGAAAAATTAATTTTTGCTACTTTTGAGAATAACGATTTAGAACAGAAACTTTTATATGCTCATTTCTCATTTGTTATCAATGAATAAATTAAATAATTTTTCTTCTATGTGAACTAAGAAAATTCATACAAAAAAAAATTTGAAACAACTTTTTTATCAAGTTAAAGTGATTTTTTTCACCCAAAGAACTCGTTCTTTTTTTCAAACTTGCAATGATTCCACATTTCACCGTTTTTGCGGTTTTTTCTTAGTTCACATAGAAGAAAAATGTATGAAAATGAAAATTTCTTTTGTTTTTTTTTGTGTCAAAACAAATTACGACCTGCATCATTCCCGCCGATAGGAGGTTTTAATTGTAAGATGCCTTACAAATGTGCGTCACAGTCGACTCAATTTGAATATTTCTTGTTGAAAAAATTTGTACAGACTACTCAAATATGTATGAAAATAAGATAAAAAGTTCCATAGAATTAATTATTTTTTCCATAGTAAAAAAATTCACGAAAACCCGCTGTTTTTAGACCTCCTAATTCAGGATACCCCCTTAAGTCATCTTCTGCCACTATTAGCTGTTCATTTGTTTGCATTCTTTAGATTTGTTTTCTTGGAAAAACCACCCTTTCCAATCACCTTAATTTATTATTGAATATAAATTAAATTACAGTGCTATTTGGATATTGAAAGATGAAGAAGTCAATCTAACATTTGCAAAGATGTAGGTGTCAAAGGCTCGTAGTGTTTCATGATTGTACCTAAGTTCCTTAAATTGTCTAACAAAGTCTCCGAAGCGAGGGATTTCTGGCACGAATCCAGGATCAATGTCATCTGAATAAATCTCCAGAAACTTGGCTGGTGCTGTTGAAATGTCTTCATTATTCATTGTCGGAGGCCTCTGGGCTTATAACCTTTGAAGTCCATGTTTTAATCCGACTCGCGTTAACGTCAGAAAAGAAAATGTTAAAGAAAAAACGAAATCGAAGCTATTTTGAAAACATTTGACTTCCTGTGACATCGTTACTTATTCCGCAAGTGCAACAGCCCTGGTTTCTTAAAATGGGGTCATATGTTTCTTTTTAGATAAATCAATTCCCTTACTCTGCGTATAAAAGAATAGATTCAGGTAGGTATCCGATAAATGAACACTTTATACTAAATATGGAAACTCTCATTTTCAAGTGACAATCTTTGTATACAGATTTCGTCACGAAATGTTCAATAAGAATTATAATTTTTTACTTTTAATTTCGGTATAAATTAATGAAAATTCTTTAGCCTAACTTGGTATATAGATTTCGTTCACAGAATTATCAATAAAGAATTAAAATGCTTTACTTTACGAGAGGTATAAATAAATAAAAATTGTTTAGTTTAACTTGTACGTAGATGAAATTGAAAATAAATAAAATAGGAAGAAATTCATTATGTCAAGTATTCTGTTTTCTTTTAATGTACCATTACAAAAATCAGCGCAATTGCACTTGCAGGCACCTAATGTGTCTTGAATCTAAATGTGCCTATAGGTATATAATAATAAGAATCCCTTGATCATATTTTACTGTTCTTGATATTATTTATGATAATATATGATATCCTAATCACAGTAAATAATGTAGACATTTATACATCACTTCATTCTTTTTTTAAATGGCGTATAATCCCTCATATACCAAAAAATATTCAAATGTCTCAAACTATAACACTACATTGAACTGTTATAAAAACAATACTATAGTTAATCTTAACAATTCTTGGAAAATATAGTTTTGTTACGTTTTGCATGGTCCTTATTTTACACAAATTTAATTAAGAAACAATCTGTAATTTAATTTAATCAATGTTTGTGTCAGGTAAAGGTAGCACTGCTAACAATTCTCGTGAATACAACGGGCAACCAACAAACAAACGCGGTTCCCGAAAACTCTGCCGCATCCACAAACGGCGACACGCCCAAGGTAATAATAATAATAAATTATAAATCGCTAGACAGTACGCAAATAAAGTTAAAAAGATAAAATTAGATCAACGTGAATAATTTGAAAATAGTGCTAAAACTGCCAAAAACTGCTAATCAGTCGACCTTATTTCATTAGTTTTGATAAAGAAGTGTTTCGCATGACGTGACGACGCGACGCACAGTGGTCTGAATGGCCAAAAACCTGACCAAAATTAGAAGGAGTTTTCGGATCTTCGTGAAACTTGGTATTTGAGGGCCGCAAATTACGAATCTGGTATCAGAATTTCAAAATTCAAAATGGCGGATCCAATATGGCAGACACGTATATTACAAAGTTATTAGATTTTCATGAAACTTGGTATTTAAGAGTTATTTGGACCGCTAATTACGAATCTAGTATTAGAATTGCAAAATTCAAAATGGCGGATCCAATATGGTCGACATGCATATTAAAAATATTAAATTATTATGAATTTTTTATGAAATAGGATTTCTAGGTTTATAGGGCAACATAATTAGAATACATTGGCAGAAATAATAATAATAAATTAATGTTAAATTAAATTAAAAGATAATAAGGTTTGTTTTAATGCCACGTAAACAGTCTTCTTTTCCTTATAAGCATGGACTTTAAATTTAAATAACTTAATATGGCGCAAATTTGCGCAAGTTTTCTCAATTGGATATCATACCTGACATGTTACTTTATATCAAGAAACTTGGCAGAGCGTGCCACTCGGTGACTATCATCATTGTTTTCCTTCCGATTCATCGAAAGATAACTAAAATTTATACCATATTAAGAAGGGAATTACAATAGTGAATCCAAAGATATTTTACTTTGTTCTTGTGGAAAGTTTATGTTTGTAACATCTACTTTTATGGTAAAATGATTTACATATAAATCTATTGAGTATAAACTTTCTGTGACACAATAAACATGCGCCACTTTTCACGATATCAAGGATCATGAAATTTCGTCAACTTTGAACCTCTGTATATCAGTAACCGATTACAATTTTTTTAAATTTCAAACGACATTAGTGCACTCATATGTATACAACACACGCACAATATTGAAAAAAGTGTGTTCGAAACTTCTAAAATTGCATTTTGGCCAGGTTTTCGGCCATTCGGACCACTGTGCGACGTCGCGTCGTGTAGCGAGATGTACGAGGTTGCGAAATTCTCAAAGAATTGGTAGCGATGAAACGGTACATTGGACTAAAGAAATTCATCGATATCGTTGCAACCAATGCCGTCAATTAATCTACTAAAAAAAAAATGTCACTTCAGAGAGGCGGAGCGACGGAAGAGCACCGCAAAATGAGAAACTACTTGAAGAGGATGGAGAGAGAAGGCGTGCAAAGGGTGAAAATGTTTCTGGTGATAACAGCCGCGTACGGTATCTTTTGGGGACCATTGTTCTTTGTCACCTTGGTGGATCATCCTAGCATAGGGAATCCAACAGGCTACGAGGTAACTAGAAGAATGGACTGTGTAGCGTAATTAGTGAGTGCTTCCCAATTGCTAACACATTTTGACACATATGTATGTACACAGGAATTCACAAAGTGTAGCGTCGTGCACGAATCAATTGGAATAAAGTAATGATTATGATGTCAGAGAGGCCTAAGATTATTTTTCTATAATATGCCATTTATACCAAAGCCTTGGTATTTTTTACAGTGGGTGTAGAATGTATTCGTACACCGATCAATTTCCCAAAAAACTTTTATATGAAATTGTATTAGGTGAACTGGAAAATAATGTCGTTTCTTGCAATTTTAAATACTTGTTTATCGTTCATCAGCTCATTGATCTTTATCGATCTGGCATTGGCAATTTGCACACTAGATGGCAAAAGGCAATTGATAACGGGAGCGATTATACAATTAATAATTAAAAATAAGAATTTATAAAAAATTTGTTTGAACTTACGTTTACGTAAGTAAACGTAAACACATTAGTTTATTGCTCCGTACGAATTAGAAGACATCAAATTTCCAGTAAAGTATTGTACTTTTAAAAAATGGCTCTAATAGAGGAATTGAAGATGATTTCACTACGAATAACTAATAATTTAGTTAATTTAATCCTCAGAAAAGTTATATACTTATAAATTATATACTTGTAAATTAATGTAAATTTCTTTTTTTTTTTTTAATGAAGTTTTAAAAATTAAACAATTGTGCAAATACTTATTGCTTCAATATTTCTATCGATTAATTGTTTAATATTTTTTTTTTTTTGTTAATTGTGTAACTTACATAAATAGCTTTTTTTTGTGTACTCTATCTATTCTAGAGATTTCCAAGAATATATAGAATATCATTGTTTATAAAAAAAAGTGAATAAATTACAATTTCACATAGTTTTTTTGGAAAAGTGGCCGGTGTACGAATAGTTTCTACACCTACTGTATTTCATGGTAGAAATGTCTATCATTCGCACTGTTATAGCACCTGATCAACGTTTTTTTAGCTTCTTAGTATTCACACTCGTGAAAAGGCAAGTGTTATATTTACATAAAGATAATATAAAATAGAATATAATTCTTTTATAATGTTATAAACTTTCGACTAACTGTCACTGGAAAATACAAGTTTACACATCTGTCTAATAGCCTTCGAGGTGAGTACAGATGTGTAGCGTTGTGTCGATGATTGCGGCAATTGGAACGCAAATTGTGTCGCCATGTGTACGAAAGTGTCTAGGGATATTGCAATTGGAAAGCACGTATACAGCACTGTGCAACAGTCTTAAGCCACCATTTCAAGCTTTCATTACATTTGAATAAGGTAATGAAATAAATATGATGTATTAGGCGAACTGGAAAATAATGTCGTTTTTGTAATTTTAAATACTTGTTTATCGTTCATCAGCTCATTGATTTTTATCGATCTGGCATTGGCAATTTGCACACTAGATGGCAAAAGGCTATTGATAACAGGAACAATTATACAATTAATAATTAAAAATAGAAATTTATAAAAAATTTGTTTGAATTTAATCTAAAAGTAACGACATTACTTTCTAGTCCACCTAATATATTTATTATTACGCTTAATATACACTAATTTACCTACTATAAATAACACACATATAATAGAGTTGTAAAGAATTATTTTGGGGATTTTGCAAGCAGGAATTATGAAAACGAATGGCAGTGAATGTTATAAAATATTTTTTAATGAGACATGTCAAAATGTATACAGTTATTATTTACATAATAACAGTTCTATATATTTTTAAAAACAACTGTTTTTGATTAACTCGAAACGCGTTATGTAGATAATAATTGTATACATTTTGACATGTCTCATTAAATAGTATTTTATAACGTTCACTGCCATTTATTTTCATAATTCCTGCTTGTAAAAACCACATACTTAAGGTAGTTGTTTCGAGATAGTCAAACGAAGATTAATCGAACTTAAAATACAAAATAGTCGAAGCTTTTGTAAAAATACAATTTTACTGCTCTTACACATGTCCATAATATAATAATATGTATACCTACACATACATTCGTAATACTCGAGAAATGATTGTAGCAACCGACGCTACCGTGCAACTTCTGTACGTTCAGTTTCAGATTTTAATGAATTTTGTCTCAGTAAGAGCGGGGTCAATAATTGTTGTATAGATATTTTTTTAAATGATTTATAATTTCGATTTTTATAACACATCAAATTTTCAGCAAGTTCCTCCATTGCATTTTGATTTAAATTGTAAAGATTCATGTGAAAATCGGTGCGTTCCATAAGGATCTGTGTTAAGATTACAAAATTTTTATATCTTTTTTCATAAAATTGGGGCAGTCAATTTGAATCGAAAAAGACTCATATAAATACCATTTAATTAAAGAACCATTGAGTGAAGTTTTGTTAAAATTCTCCGTTAAAGTCACGAAACAACTACTTTAACAGAGTTAGGGGATAATGAAACATCAAAAGTTACGATTTAGTCACCTAAAAGTGTCGATTTAAATATTATTGATCACGTCTAAGATCATTTAAGCAGACCTCAAAGATAAAGAGACCCAAAAAATGGAGATGAACTGTTTGAAGTAGTACAAATTGAATAGTGAAACATTCCGTGCAAAGTGATTAAAGAATTATATGAAAGTTATTCGAGAAGAGTCGCCGCTATCATAAAGGTAAAAAGAGTACTAAATATTAAATTCTCTTTTGAATTTATACTATTTCAAAAATATATAAACTAAATCAAAAGTACTCATTCTTTAGTAGTAAAAATGTAAACAATGTAATGTATCACAAGTGGCCTAAGACTTCCGAAAAGTGAAGAATACTTTACGAATTTTTTCTACTAATAATACCATTCTGAAAGAGTATAAAAATATTTTTAGAAATATCAACTAACTCAATTTTTTACTTTATAGTTACTATTTATATTTCAGATTTATTCTATAGGTGTAGATAATCCAAAACTTATTTTCTCAATACGAAAGTACGTAGGATATTTCCAACCCGCGAATCTGGCTCACGGTTCAAGTTTCAAACATTTCCATATTCTGCATCGTTCCGTTTGTTTTTCTTTAATTGACGGAAGCCCTAGAATTATTCAAGCAAGCAATTCAGGTAGGTAGGCCAAGCTTGTCGATCGTTCTGTTTCGGTAACCCCGGAAAACTTAGTATTCTTTGTACTATAAATGGTATTAATGATCTGGTACAGTACTGTAGTCGAGGAAGTGGGATTATCAGAGTCCTCAAAGTAAACCATCTCTTTTATTTCTCCGTATTTTAATCTCTTTGTGACATTGGCATTACTCTTTGACATTTCACTAAGCTACGACCACTTTCTGAACAAACCAAAGATCGTCAATAACGTTTGACCTCGCGCATTTAAGTTTCGGAGAGATGTAAAACTTCGACAAACGTCGATGTACATTGCTGGATTCATTTGTAGGCTTTTTAATTCCAGTATCGGCCTACAGAAATCTATTAACAATATTATCGGTTACTTACAACGCTCAATTTTTGGAAACGAGCAAGGTTTTTGATACACAGTCAGCCCCACAAGTATTCGTAACATGTATGTCTATTAAAGAAATTTGTCTAAATGGAATGATAAATTGATGGAATGACACATTATAAATACTCGTGTATACATACAGTGGGTGTAGAATGTATTCGTACACCGATCAATTTCTCAAAAAACTTATGTGTGAAATTGTAGTTTTTTTACATATTCTTGGAAATCTCTAGAATAGATACAAGTACGAAAAGATTAGGTATTTTGTATAAGTGAGAAATCAACAAGAAAAAACAATAAATCGATAGAAATACAGAAGCAATAAGTATTCGTACAAGTGTTAAATTTTTAAAATTTCATTTAAATAAAAAACGAAATTTCCATTAATTTACAAGTATATGATACTTTCTTCGTGGGATTTCCTTTTGATTTTATAATTATTACAACTCTTCTAAACGTTAAATTAACTAAATTATTAGTTATTCGAAGTGAGATCTTGTTCAATTCCTCTGTTAGAGTCATTTTTAAAAGTACTTTCCTGGAAATGTTATGATTCCTTTTAATTTTATAATTACTCCAACTCTTCTAGGCATTAAATTAACTATCATAAATGTCAATGTTATTCGTATGATCTTCTGTCATTCCTTTATTAGAGCATTTTGTAAGACTTTTTTTACTAGAAATTTAATGTTTTCTAATTCCCACGAAGCAATAAACTGATATGCTTATGTTACAAATTCTTCTGTAAATTGTTCGGCATAGGAACCGTGCGAATATTTATATTTATATTTATTGGTTTTATATTTCTACCGATTTTTCGTATTTTTTGTTAATTTCGCAAATTATATAAACTAGTAGTTGTTGTTTGAACTATATTCTAGAGATTTCCGGGAATAAGTAGAATATCATTGATTATAAAAAAAGAAGTTAAGAAACTACAATTTCACAGAAAAGTTTTTTGGGAAATTGATCGGTGTACGAATACATTCTACACCCATACAAAACAGCTAAATGCAAATCGCAAAAGAAATGTTCAAGACAACCTAATAACAGGATTACTTGTAAATATATTTTCTCTCAACTTTTGACTTTCCGAAACTGTTTATAGCAAAATTTCTAGATGAAACGATTACAACAAATGCCTCTCGACTATCGCTATTTTAAGTATCGGAGTATCCCATTAATGTCCCAGCAAAGTAAAGAGAGTTTACACCTGAATTTAACACGGTGCAGAATGTTCACGTGCAATTCTACCAGATAACAAGTAAATTCGACTGGCACCTACATTAGCGCCATTTAATAGCGTATTTAATAGCGCCAGTAAACTATTCCCTCTCGCTCCTCGGTTTGCTGGCGCCAGTGAAGTTGTAACGGCCGCAACAAATGCGTGTGCAATCCTGTTTGAAACGGTTTTGGAAAGTCGTCAAGTGTCAGCCGCCCACGGAGCTGACGGTGCAATGAAAGCTTCGATGAGAAGTTGGCGATTTCAAAGAGATCCGGAGCGAACGTGTATGGCATTTCCCATTAATAGTCCGAGGGCACGCGACATAAAATTTCGGCCAATTTCATTATAAATATCCTTTTGCTATTTGACTGTTTTCTACTAAAGAATAAAAATAATCCAAGGCTGGCAGAGCACAAACGGTGCATTGCTACGCTAGAAAATCGGAAACATATAAGAAATAACAGTATCTTTGACTGAAATCATTATTACTGAAATTTTTAGTGTGTATTGTTGACATACCAAATTGCATAAAAATGTTGGTCTGGCAGATTATAAGCGGTGCTAAATGGGTCTGGCAGTCGGAAAACCTTGTCGAAAGAACGAAGTAGTTCATTAAAACATCTAATAAAACTATCAAGTAACTGATATCATTATTTCTAAAACTTTTTCTATAAACAATATGTAATGCATAGCGTTAAAAAATTTTGCCTGGCAAACTTTGAGTGGTGTTAAATCGGTCTGACAGCCGTTTAAAAGAACGAACACACATGCGTTACCGGCGTTGAGATCTCGATAATCTAATAAAACTATAAAGTAATAATTATTTTTAAACACTACACACATTAGTTATTTATAGAATATTGCTGTGATGATTTTTATTTCATACAATATTACATATTATTATTTAACTTCAATAAGTCATGAAATTGCCCGGCGCGCATATGTGTTCGCTCTTTTAAACGGCTGCCAGACCGATTTATCATCACTCAAAGTTTGCCAGGCCAAATTTTGTAACCCTATGTATTACACATTGTTTATACAAAAAGTTTCAGAAATAATGATTTCAGTCAAACTACTTTGTTTTTCCGACAAGGTTTTCCGACTGCCAGACCAACTTTTTTATGCAATTTGGTATGTCAACAATACACACTAAAAATTTCAGTAGTAATGATTTTGACCAAAAATTAAATTATTATAATACGCCATAGTGAAGCGTTGCACTACTGAATTCATGCCAGACCAAGCATTTCTGAACTAGGGAGACATACCATCTTTGGAAAACAGGTTCATTTGTGTAATGAAATAAGTCACCCATTTCTGACGCGGGCTCTCGGACTATAAGGGGTTAGTCGCAGACAGGAAGAGGAAAAACGACATTTCTTTGTAATTTTTTTGTAGTTATTAAATAATAACTTACATAAGTAACAAATAAGTATATTATAAAGTATGTTTTAAATAACTAAAAAACATTTTTTGTTTTAAGAAACGTTTAATTTATATCGTCATAACAGCTGATGACGTAGACGATGATTTAAAAACATAGGTTTGCGGTGAGCAAGATTTCTCTACACTGGTTTACCTGAAAACGAAAACAATGGTAGATTTTGAAAATAGATTAGTCCAGCGGATCCCTAACGAAGGATTTTGGAAAAAATTAATTTAAAACAAGATGGCGTACATTTAAAGTTGACTTTCAATTTTTTCACTAAAATTAAGCGATTCAATACAGGATAAAAAAAAAGTATACAAAAAAATAAAAAAATCTTTCGATCAGGGACCCGTTAGTCTAATATATTTTCTAAATCTATTTTTAGTTTTGTTTTCAGGTGCACCAGTTTAAAGAAATCTTGTTCACCGCAAACCAAGTGGCCACCCACGTCATCGCCTGTTATGTCGAAATGAATTAACCTTTTTTTAAAACAAAAATTCTTTTATAGTTCTTTAAGACATACTTTGTAATATATTTACATTTCATTCATAAAAATTATTATTTAATATCTTAAAAAAAAACACAAGAAACTGTCCGTTTCTATATTCCTGACTGCGACTAACTCCTTAACTGACTTCCAGGTGACATTACATATCGCGTACGTTCACGCATTCGTGAACCCGGTGCTCTTTTTGAGCCTCCATCGGGGATTGCGACAAGGATTGTCAGAGTTTTTCTGCGGTTGCTGCGAAAGCATCGCGAGCTGGATTCTGGGTCCAAGCATTCCTGTAGAAAGCGTTCAACCCCCACGATACCAGGAACCTATTGAGGCTGTGCCATCACCCCCGGAACCGCCAATGGCGCAGCCCAACGCTTGCCCGGACCTCACCGACGTCGCCCTCCTCAAACCACCTCTGCCACCGACTGGCAAACATTTACTGGTATTGAAAACATTTTTCCGAAACTTTAAGAAACTTTCTCCGCCACGTTATGGAATGAACGCGACTGCCTTTAGCCCCCGCTTGCGCTTTGAATATCTGACCCAGTTGTTTTACTTGGAATGATTTAAAGCTTCTATGGCAGTTGAATACATTTACCGCCACGGGGGAGATTACGCGCGTCTGATTGCGTTCAAAGAACGTTTGTAGGAGTTGAACGTATTTTTCGGTTGAACGTGCTGGAAAATCCGTGGAAAATCAGTTCCTGTTAGATTGAAAGGGGCAGTTTGGTCCAGCTAATGTATTTTTCTAATGCATATAATTTCCAGATATAA